CCCCAAAACCCCAAAACCCCAAAACCCCAAAACCCCAAAACCCCAAAACCCCTCGCATCATAAAAATTATAGAATTTAATTCATATTATCTCCTAACTTCAAATTTTTATTTTGTCCCATTCTTAACAGACTTGTAGCCAGCCGATTTATTTGATTTAGCAGACTCGATAGATCTCTCACGGCTGTTAGACTGCCTCTTCTGAGAGCTTTCTGAGTTAGTCCTGCTGTTGTTAAGATTGATAATTGCACGGTTCATGAAAATAGCAGGCTTGCACTTCTTCTTAAGCTTCTTATACCTAGCCTCGTTCTTTTTGGAGCCAAAGAAGTTCTTGCCTTCCATTGATCCATCTGGTCTCTTAGCCCTAACCCTTGATCTGGATGAGCTCTGCATACTGCTTGTAGCCTGCCTAAGATTTTTGATGTTAGGTTTTGATGGAATTTTGAACGATAAGTTAGACTTAGTGCTCGATTTCCGATTCTTGTCACTCTGGCTTCTATTGACAGCCTTCTTAGATCCAACCATGAGCTTCATATTGTTCTGAAGGAAGACCACTCTTGAGTCCGCTTTCATTGAATGCTCTTTGTTCTTACCAGAGGTAAGCTTCCTCACAGCTGAATTTTTCTTGCTGGAAATATTCATTCTCCGTCTTGTTGCTGTATATTTGTTCCTGACATCACCTCTTGGAGAATCTTTCAAGGATTGAGCGACTTTGAGACTTCTTTTCCTTACTTTCATGTCGAGTTCTAAAAATAACAACTAACCTTACTCTTTGCAGACCTGGGCTTGGCCTCACTAACTTGTAAGCTATGACCCTCATTCCTCTTAGAATTGTGACTATTGGGGATGAACCTGGACTTGGCTTTGTCTTCAAGATCTGCCAGGATCGAAGAGTCTAGTCCTTTCTTAGAGGTCCCTCCATTCCTATGTTATTAAGCAGGGATATTACAGTCAAGATTTCGAAATAGCAGTGTTTGTTTTCAGCGACTCTTTAGATTTATAGATTCCTGATCATACTCCTGCCAGTCCGAATTTGTTGCTCTTAGAATTCTTAGAGGTTTTGGGATGAACATCCTGCCCAACCTGAGCATTAGGAGGCTCTAAGGTCCTTAAGAAATTACTCTGCTTGGTCTCCTCGTACCGTCTCTTCTTTTGCTTTGCCTTTTCGCTCTGGTTTCTGCAAATTCCTTGGATGCGAGATCGACTGGGCTTTGAGCCTATGATATGATTTATAAAGAGCTTACCTTTAGTTCCATTTTTATGATAGACACTTTGAACAAGCGCTTCCTTCTGACTAAGGCTGCTCTTATGAGAACCCAGGAACTTCCCCTCAGTGAAGCTGAGAGAGTCCTTCTCTAACTTCTTAAGCATGCTTGGATCCTTCTTAGAAGCCTTGAAGCAGCCTCCTTTGATAATCTCATGTCTTTTAGCAGTCGATTTCTTCATAAATTTCTTGCTTTTATCCTTAGAAGTACTGCTTTTGTCTTTAGACTCTTCAATGCTCGATTTGTGATGATGTGAGTAAGTGGACAGGTTTTCTTTAGGACTTAGCTCGATCCCTCTTTTAGGGATCATAGCTGAGTACTGGCTCGAAAGGACAGGCTTTCTGAAACTTTGGGATAGCTCTTCATTTGAATCTTCAATAGGCGAGCTCTCAGCCTTCTTTACGAGAAGAGTACTCTCTTCATCGAAGTCATCATCGAGATCTGGTGGCATATTTACATGATTTTTGCACCTGATTTTACTAAAATTCTTACGTGAAGGAGGTTTTGGCTGCTCCAATGCCTTGAATGCAATCTTATTCTGGATTACATCTCTGGTCTCTGAGCTGTACCGCTTGGAGCTCTCAGTACAGCCTATAGTGGAGGGTAGCAAATTTTGTGAGACCCCTCCAGAGTTCCTCTCTTTAGATGCTATTTTATCAAATAGTTCAAAATCAATCTGGTTGCTTTCCTGATCAACAATCTGGGTTATCACATTACGGACATCTTCACAGCGAGAGAGATACTCTAAAGGTCTGAGGTATTTATATAGCTCAATGTCGTTCCTGTCATCAAGCCATGTTTTGATCGGAAGAGCATTCTGTTTTTGAAACAGATAAGAAATTGGAGAATTATCTAGGATAAGAATGTCCTCCATTTTTCTTCCCAGTCGGGTCAGGTCCTTAATAAACACACTGTACATATAAGTGCAGTGCTCTCTGTAAAGTCTGTGCTGACACAACTTTTGCGTATCTAGCGCATTAATGACAGGATTTGCATACTTATCGATAGATGCAGTGAAGATGACTAATTCGAAATATCTTGAAAGTCTCTTAAGGAACATGTCTACACCTGGTCGCTTATACACGTATATGTCATTCGTTAGCGTGTATTTATTACCTTCGTGGTCAGTCACTTCATCTGGAATTTTAATGATGATATCAGCATCATCCACCGGCTTGAATACAGAATGGATCAAGGTTTCGTCAAGGTCAAGAACTAACGTCTTTTTACCTTGGTCGTCAGGGTTTCTATCTGGTAAGAGGCTGACAAGATCTGACTGGTTCTTGACCTCAATGACAGCACCAGGCTGGACCTTTTTGGATGCTCTAAAGATGAGACAGGGTTGCTACCTCTGTGCTTTCTGTTTGTCAAGGGTAATTCTGGCTTCAATAATTTTAACTATTTCATTTTCAAGCCCATTAGCTTGTGTTACCCCGATTTGCATATTTCCTTGGGTCTTGGGAACCTTAGCCCCTTTAGTTTTACTAAGTTTCGCCTTTGGCTTAGCATGCCTCTTCTCAGGCTTATTTAGAGCTCTTAGAGAGAGCCTCGGTCGAGCCTTTCTGACCATCTAAAGAGTTCTTCAAATTAACTGCTTTCAACAAATTGCTGGTCTTGTTAAGCAAATTCGCTTTATTTGGAGCCAGCTTTCTTGGGTCGAGGGGTGGCCTCTGTCTTGGTTGAGTAATTTATTCACTTTCTAGAGCTATTTTTAGTGTTCAATAATCTCTTTGACAACTTGAGTGAGCTTTCAGACATCTTGAATAAAGATTCTTCTAAATTTATTATACTAAATATAAGGGGTTTTGGGGTTTTGGGGTTTTGGGGTTTTGGGG